CACAAGAGCAGTCTGTCTGGTCTCAGAGTCAGGGCAGACCCTCTCACATTTGTTCTGAAATAAAACTGTCCTGTTGAGCAGGTCCTATCTCTGTGTCTTTTCCTCCTTTCCTAATGTGAAGAACATCCCAGATGCTTTTCAAGCCACCCAAGCCAGTCTGGAGCACCTTGGGGCAAGACCCTGTCCACCCATCCCTGGCGACCTTCAACAAGATTTCTGCCAGACACACTTCCTGCATGGTGAGCAGGTGGGCCTCCTTAGGGATTGGGCCTCACCCTAGAAAGGAACTTAGGCCTAAGTACTTGGGACTTCCTTGACTGCCCTGTAGTTGTAAACCCCACCCTTCTCTGTCCAGCTGCCCTGGGGCAAAGAAGGGAGAGTCTCTGGATGCCGGCCAGACACCCCAGCCTAGACTGGGGTCCTGGCCTTCCTGGATGCCTGCTGTTTTCTCCTCTCTAAGGTTTTTCTCTGATGGTTAGTATTACTGTCCTGTGCCAGGCACTGGGTCGTATCCTAGAGGCATGAAGTTCCGCCATCCAAGGTGAGCTCCGCCTCAATTTATATGTTGTCCTTAGGGCGGAGCTCACTGCATGGTGAAAGACAGATGTATATGGAGTTGGTTCTCATTATTTGCCGTGGTTTATGGAGTCACCATGAGCAACTGAAATCGAAAATACTAGATCATAGTTCTTAGGGAGATAAAGGGTAGATTCCTGTAAGCCTCACATTTTTGCCTACTGATCAATATATAACTTTGTTTTATGTATGCTTCTATTTTAAGACACTTTACAGGTTTGAATCTTAGCCTTTTAACATTGAATTCACGGTCAACAGTCCTATAACTCTGCCCAAAATGAAGCCCATTTAATGCATGGATCTCCTCATTGGACACATTTGTAATCCTCCTGGGTTGGGACACAGAACCCAGCTCTTGGACACAGCTGTGTACTTTAGGGCCACTGTAAGTAGTGAAATCACCAAGAAAAAGTACTGAAAATGAAAAACTAAAAAAACAAAAATGCCGCAGCACTAAATACACCTGTTAACACTACTGGGTGAAAAATAAAAAGGCAGGGGCTGGTGAGATGGCTCAGTGGTCTAAAGCACCTACTTAGAACAAGCTTAGCAAAGCACAGGGACCACGGTTCAATCCCCCAGCACCACATGCCAGCCAGCCCTGCCCCCTGGTGGGCTGAGCTGGCCACACACACACACACACACACACACACACAAATAAATGAATAAAAAATAAATAAAAAGGCAGGGTGTCTGTCCCTTGTTCAGTCTCAGCTGGGAATGTGCACATCAGACAACTCAAAACTTTTGCTGCTCTGTGAATACTTATCAGTGGCTGGTTACACATAAATTTTAGCTAATAGGAGAATTCTCATATCTGACCAATGAGGATTTTGGTCCAATCCTCAGACCAATGAGGATCAATTTGTATGTTGCCCTGAGGGACCCTGGAAAAATCTCTGACCTAGACTGGAGGAATCAAGACCACCCTGAAGAGATGGCACTTTGACTGTGTTCCAAAATATGGAAAGGTATGAGACCAAAATTAAGGTTTGATAATGATGTCTTTCTTTCCTATTCTAGACACCTCAATTGCTCTCATAAATGAGGTCTTCTCTTTGACCGTGTTTTTTAACTCAATACCGGACAACAGAACTTGCTGCAATGATACCTGTCACCCTTGCACTAAGGAGTCTGAGGCAGAAGGATCACTGAGAGTTCGAGACCATAATGGGCTATTTAGTGAATTCAAGGCCAGCCTGGGCTATATGGGAGACCCTGTCTGAAAAAAAAAAGAATACCAAGGTAGAATGCTGGGAAAGCTCTCTGGCCCCTGCCGGGCTCAGCCTCCACCATCTCCAACCCAGCCACACACAGTAGTCAGTCCTCTTCTTGCCCTCTCAGTCACCACCCCCAGCAGTATTTCCACGGCCCTTTACTCTTGGACCACTGCAGGAGCGGGCTCCTCACTCATCTTCCTGCTTTTATTCTCTCCTCTTTGAACTCTCCCCCACAGACCAGTTGATACATATTTTTGAAATGTAAACTCTGTAAGGCACCCTTCTGCTCCTAAAGCCATGTGCATACCACAGCTGCCTGGCCTTAGTCCACTGCCCTCTATCCCTATCCGCACACTTTTCTTTTTCTGCCTGTCCTGGGCTGGAGCCCACACTGCTCCGCCTCCCTGGCCAGCTTTTGCTGCTCCTTTCTTTGCCTGGCTAACTCCTTTCTTCTGGCTTCTGGCCAGGGATTCTCAACCTAATCTGATTACTCTTCCATCTAACACTCTGGACAGAATGTTTGTTCAGTTAATGTCAGTTTTTCCAGACAAGGGAAAGCCCATAAAGGCAGACTCTGCTGTCTACCTCATACTTATCATGAGGCCTACCACATAGGGAGAACTCAATATTCTGCTAAATAAACTAATTTTCCTCTCGTGAAGAGCTAATGCCTAGGGACCGGGGAGACAGCTCAGTGGAATAAGCGATTCTCTGGCAAGCGCAAAGGCCTGAGTTCAATCCCCGGTTCTAAAAAAAAAAAAAAAAAAAAAAAAAAGAGCTAATGCATAAACAGCTATTCCATCCAATCAAAAGGAAGCAAGATTGGAAGGATCACATTTTGTCGATGGGAAGTTCACATTGTGCCACCTCACCCGGAGCCTCCAGCAATCTCCGGAACTGTTGTAAAGAAGATTCTTTGAGTATTTTCTTCTATGCCACTTTTACCCCTCTCTAATCAATTCTCCATGCAGTCAGGAAAACATTTTTAAAATGTAAAACACTTTTCTACTTAAATGTCTTCAATGGCTTTTTAGCTGCTGTAAAATAAAATTCAAATTTTTGAATGGTCTAAGTGCCCTGGAGGGTCTGACTGCTCTGCACCTTCCACTCCAGCATGTACACCATCCTCTGGGTGCACGGGGCCCTTCTGTCCTCTGGATATTTATTCTAAGCTCTCTTGAGGCGTGGGACTGCATTCTCTGTCTCCTCTAACTGCAGTACTTTCCTGAGCTTTTTGAACATCTGGCCAATTCTCCTCCTTTATGATTCAAGCCAGTGTCACGTTCTCAGAACATTCTTTCCTGAGCAGTTGGCACAAAATAGCTTTGTACCAGTTCTTTCACATCACCACGCTTATTCTTTCACAGTGCATATTAAATCGGAAATTCTTGTCATTGGTCTTCACCAAGAAAGCAACCTCTCTCCTAAGAGCTTAGCGAGTGCAGGAAATATAGGAGACTTACTGTAAACACTTGTTCAGATCAGGGGAATAATGTCCAGGATCCAAGACTGAAGTACAATGCACTCTTTATAACGTTGTGGGCTTGACCCTTTCTTCCAGCAGGTGGCGCCAAAGCCACACCTGGTTCTAGGACATGGTGCTTGGTGACAGAGCTAGGACCTAGCTCACAGGGTCTGCTGTGGTGATGCTGGGTCCAAGCACAGGGGAATTCAAAATGGCGCTGGGTAAAGATGAGCTGATCCCAGATTGCTTGCCCTCTCTACCTATGCTCAAAACATCCCGCAAGAACTCAGCAGGGGGGCTGGGGAGAACGCTCAGTAAAATAAGTGCTTGCCTGGCAAGCACAAGGTCCTGAGTTCAATCCCCAGTACCACCAAAAAATAAAAAAAAAATTTAAAAAACAGAACTCAGCAGGAGCCTCCTAATAGGATAGCAGTAAAATGGGCAAGAGGAAAGGCTTTTCTTTTGCTTTCACTCTCCTTGTCTCTGTCTTTTTTCTTTTTATTTTTTTCAAGTATACAGTAAGTAGCTACGTTATTGCAGGTCATGGCATGGTAGCAGGAACAGGGAGAAGAAAGGCAAGGGGAAGAAAAAAGCGTGAAGGAAAAAAAAACCAAATGGGCTTTTCTTTTTAAACAAGATCTCTCTAAGTAATTGAGGCCCAGCCCAGTTTCAAACTTTTGATTCTTCAGCCTCAGCCTCCTAAGTACTGCACTGGGATTTACACATGTGTGCCACCAAGCCCAACAAGGCAACATCTGGGAGAAACAGACCCAGACAGAGCACCTCAGTGGGTTGGTAGGAATGGGTCTGGCTCTTAACCAAAGCCCTCCCCAGTCATAGGGTCCGTTCATTCAGCCCCTCAGTGCCTGGCCCTGGGCTCCATATGGGACACAATGATGGGGGGAGGGCTCTCAGATCTGGCCCAAGGGGAAGAAGCAGCTGGAGCCCCTGAGAGCCTTGCTGGAGCTCAGGCATGTTGACAAGTGCCCGCAGCTGCAGCTGAGACAGGTATGCATTGCAGGGTTAGGCAAGTGGTCTACAAGAAGGGCTGCATCTGTCTGTGGGGCTGGGGAGGTCAGAAGCAGCCTTGTACTCCTTCCTGAAAGCAAAGGTACTCCCAGAAGGGTTTGTGTACAGGAGGGCTACTCAGGTGTCTCAGAGCTTGCAGAGGCAATGTAAAGAGATCCAGTTGAAGACAAAGAGATCAGTCAGAATGCTGGTGCAACCATCCAGGCAAGAGAAGATAAAATCTGAGAAGTAATTGTAGAAATGAGAAAAAAGCAAGCTTGTGTGGTTTAGGAAATTGAAATATATTCAGTTCTAGGGACTGGACCCAGGGTCTCATGCTTCCTAGACAAGCATTCTACCATGGAGTTATACTCTCAACCCTGAAATATTTGTTTTTAAAGAATAAGACTTGGTGGTCATGGAGAGGCTGTAGAAAGTACTGAGTGCCTCAGTTCTGCCTCAGGCAGCTTCTGACCAGAGGTGGTAGCTACAAAGGCAGTGAAATTAGCTCATGAGGTCAAACAGCTGGATACCATAGCAGCCCCAAAGCCATGGGAAAAGAAAGACTCAGGCCCTAGAGCCAAACAGTTTGGATTGAGGATTTTTTTTTTTTTTTTTCTAGCTCAGGCTGCCTTAAGGGTGGATCTGGTACAGCTTGTGGAGCTGGGGATAGAACTGTGGTCCCCTGTGCCTGACTGAGTTTGCCCAAGCAGGCGCTTTAAACAACTGAGCTAACCTACAAGCCTCCTGGACTGATATATCCAGTTCTTCCTTGCCTATTAACCTTCAGCAGCTTACTTCATTTCCTTGTGTCTGGGTTTCCTCATCTGTAAAATGAGGCCAATGGTAGCTGCCACACAGGACGTTCTGAAGGCTAAATGGCTTAGTATTTGCAGACACACAACTGGACCTGTTGGTAACACTTCATGGCATCTATAGAAGTGACTTGGTAGAACGTCATCAGTCAGAGCAGAGCCCTCTTCCACCTAAAATGGAATCCCACATCCAAGGTTAAAAAACAAATCTGAAGTCAGGTGTGGTGACACTTACCTATAATCCCAGCACTCAGGAGGCTGAGGCAGGAGGATTGTCATGAATTTGATATCAGCCTTGAACTACTATGTTTAAGGCCAGCCTGAACTACCCCCCCAAAAAAATATGAATATTCCTAACACCTCCCTGGACTTTATTATCTATACAATAGTGTTCAAGTAGTTCCTCCTGATCCTGCCAGCTCTGCTTTCCTAGGACTTTGGAGGCTGGCTCGTGTGTGAGACCCAGTGGTATGCTGGGGTGATCCTATGAGCTTATTAGGATCCACTGTTAAATAGGAATTTGCCAAGGTGGCATATTAAATTGGGCTATGGTGGGAGTATTTGTACAGCAAAAGCAGGCCAAGGGCCCCTAGTCCTGTCCCAGCCCCTGGTGGGCTTCTTCCTGACACTCACACCCAGCAGGTGCACTATCTCTCTTCAACACTGGAGTCACCAATTGTAGACAAGGAATGACAGGTCCCCTGGGACACTGCACATCCCCAGCTGGTTCAGGCACATACAGGGCAGGCAGCACAAGTGTCTGCCAGTCCCTCAGTCATTCCAGACATGGAGGAAGGGATGGATTTCCATGTAGATCACTTTTTCCTTTTTTAAAAAAAACAGGGTCTTACTCTATAGCCTCATACTCTTGGCACTCAAGCTGTTTTCTTCTTATCTTTCAAACAGGGGCAGCCCTGACCTGGCACAATGGTTGCAAAGGTTAAATAAGTACTTCTACCCAGCGCACGCCCAGCTCCCACATGGTGCCCTTTACACTAGCTACACTAGGCAGAAACAGGCATTTTCCAGGTTTTATGAAAATTAATAACATTAATAGCTCACAGACATATACATACACATATCACTATGTACACACACGGTCATTAAGTTATTAATTAGTCTCTGTATAAAAAGTGTCTATGCTAGTGTTCTGGGCTGGGCCCAATCAGTCCTTGGCATATTCACAGTAGCAGTCCAGGGCTTGGCCCCGAGGGTGGGCAGAGGAGGCGGGAGGCTGCAGCATGGTCAGCCCCCCTCAAGCACAGGAGTGACTTCCGGGTCGCACACGCTCCGGTCTTTGGTCCCTGACTTGGCACCCAGAGAGCAGCTGTTCAGCAAGTGGGCTGTGGTCCTGATCCCTGCATGGACTGGTGATGTAGCCTTCCGTGTGTGAATTCAGGAGGTGCCGTGGCCTAGAGGATGCTGGCCAGCTCTGTGGAGTCTGTGTCAGAGCAGCCTGAGCTGCTGGCTTCATCTCTGCAAGAGTCAGAAAGAATGAGTTGGGAAAAACTACCAGCGGGAGCAGCCTGACCCCAGCACCACTGCCACCTGCCTCCCTCTTTGGGATCTGGGCCCTGTTGGACTCTTCAGAACTACAGGACAGTTGGCTCACTCTCTTCCAGCACAGGAACTGCCGGTTGCTGTTGGCTGTTCTTTCTGCTCATAGGGCACCTCAAACCCTCGAGATATACTCGGGCACAGGCAGGTTGATAGGCTGATGTGACTCATCTGGCCCTTCCCTAAAGTTGTAGGTGGCACCTAAGCTCCCCAAAGCCAGCAGGGCAGTGGAAGAGACCACAGGCTGCAGTTAAGAATCCTGGACAGGGCTCAAAGCCCAGTTCTGCCCTGTATCCATCCTGGTCACTGTTCTGCAGCAAACCTCAGTTTCTTCCTTCACAGAATGGGAATCATAAGAATCTCAGACATGCATGGTCACTGGAGCACTACATATGGGAAACCCTAAACACCTAGTCCCAAGACACAAGCTCCTTAAGGGAAAGGATTTTTGTTTTGTTCACGATTGCAATGTAGGCAGTGGTAGGAATCAGTAAGTATTTTTTTTAATTTAATTAATTAATTAATTAATTAGTGTGTGTGTGTGTGTGTGTGTGTGTGGCCAGCTCAGCCCACCAGGGGGTGGGGCTGGCTGGCATGTGGTGCTAGGGGATTGAACTGCGGTCCCTGTGCTTTGCTAAGCTTATTCTAAGTAGATGCTTTAGACCACTGAGCCATCTCACCAGCCCCAGTAAGTATTTGTTAAGTGAACGAATGCAGAGCCATTCAGCACAGGAGGTTGTGCAAGCTCAGTGTGTGCTGGGAAAGCATGCAGGAGGTGAGACTACACACGGCCCCAGGAGACACAAAGGGCTGCTGAGCCCAGGCACCAACCCTCCAAGCTCTCACCGCAGAGCCTGCAGGGCCTTCTTGTTCTGCCGCCGCTTCTCCTCATCAATAGGGTACAGCTTGAAGAGTAGCAGGCCCAGCAGGATGAGGGCTATGGGTGTCAGGGCCACCAGCATCTTCAGTGTGAACTTGACAGATGGTGGCTGGGAGCAGCCCCTTGACTGGTACCCGGCAAAACTGTGGGGACCCAGCCAGGAAGGAAGAGGTGAGGGTGGGGCACCTAGGACTTGGCTCTGACCTGGGCTGCCCCAGACCCCTATCCCACTCACTCAAGACTGAGGGTGGAAATGCCCAGCGAGACTCCAGAGGCAAACTTGGTGAAGAAGACATAGAAGGAGAAGAAGATGGGCTCCGTGCCATGGGAGTGGGGGTGCTTCAGGTGGAAGTCATCGATGACATCAGGCAGCATGGACCTGTGCAGAATGTGTGGTAGCTGCCATGAGGACTGCCCAAAACTGCCCGGCCACCAGTCACCATGATATAAGTAAGAAGGGGTGGCCCTCATACAGAAGTCCCCAAAGAACTCTCCCTAAGGAGCTTTGGAACTAGAGGGGAGAAGGTTGGGAACTACACTCAGGTGAACCTGGATGTACCTACCAAGGTAGTAAGAAGGCTGCTGCTACGCTGACGCCAGCTGCTACGGCCACCACGTATGTGACAATTAGGTTACTCTCTATGAGGGCCACCAAGATGAGAAATGGCACTGCTGACTAGGGAAGAGGGTGTGGAAACATGGGTCAGCTGGGAGGTTGTCACCAGGAGCCCCACCTCAACCTGGGAGCCACCCCCAAGCCCACTCACTGAAATCCCAATGTACACGGCTGTCTTCTTGCCAAAGTGGGTCAGGAACCACTGCCAGAGGGGAATGGTGAATGTGGCTGAGAGCTGTGGATGGATAAAGAAGTGAGGGGTGAAACAGAGCCACAGAATCTTTCCTGACCTTCCTAGGACCCCTAAAGGAGTTTCCAGCCTGCCAGAAGGCAGCCCAACAACATCATCTGGGCAATATGGAAGTTAAAGGCATATGTATGGCCCTTCTACCTTCTCATAACTCTGAGCAAACGCCACAGAGTACGTGGCATCCCCATGGTTGCTTTTGCTGCACTCTCTAACATGCACTCCCAGTTTCTATCTTCTTTCTTTGTGAAGGTGTGGTATCAGGGAATGAACTCAGGGCCTTTACACTAGCTATATCCCCAACCCTTTGTTATTTTTTTATTTTGAGACAAGTTCTTGCTAAATTGCCCATGCTGGGCTTAAACTTGTGATCTTGCCTCAGCCTCCCAGACTCCTTCCTTTACAACCCTACCTAAGCAACTGTAGGTTGGGTCCAACCAAGTATTCTGGAAAGCCTCCTCTATTCCTCCACATCTAGGGGACAGTCTGGGAACATACAAGTGTCCAAAGAGTCATCCCACAGCCTGTGCCACATCAGTACACCCACACTCACCATGATGGCCAGAAGGAGATTCTGGAACTCATTGCGGAATCCCAGGGTGTAGGTGCAAAACAGGGCAAAGTTTCCTTCCACCAGCTGGGAGATGCAGCAGGCAAGAAAGGAAGGAGGTGATGTTTGGGACTGGGTCTCCCCAAAACAACCCCCACATGCAGGATACCTCTGCCCACTCACCCCATGCCACCTGTCCCTCAGCTCCACCTCACCCAAGACCTCTCCAAACCCTTTCCTTTCAGGCGGGGCACACCAAGCCCCCACTCACCATGAATGCCAGGGAGGTAAAGAGGAAGGCGGCAATGAGCTTAACATATGGGCCATGGCTCATGACCAGCCGAAGGCCCCGGAAGAAAGGCATTGGCTCAGCCTGCTGGGTCTCACAGGGCCCTGGGGAACAGGGGTGAAAGTAAAGAGAGAGCAGAGGGCCAGACAGAAAGACAGCCATCCTGTGCTGGGCCCTGTATCACATCCCCAGACCCCTCTCACCTCTCCGCTCCCGCACACCCAGTGTCAGGATGACAGCACAGACAATGTAGATGGAGGCAATGACCCCTGCTGCCAACAAGTATGCATTTTGCTATAAAGGAGGGAAAGGTGACAGAGATAGTCAGTCTGGCCTCTTCCCAGTACCCCACCTGTTGAACTAGAGTATCATCCTGGTCCTGTTGCTTCCCAAGGCTGGGTAAAATTCAGATGTACAAAACATTAAAATTAGGGCTCTGAAGAGTCCACAGTTCAAATCTCCCTAAACCTGTGTAATTTACCAGCACTATGACTCTGGGCAAATTACCCAGTCTCTCTAGACTGAGGTATTTTTAAGTTTCACGAACAAGAGCTCAGTAAAGGAGCACTTGCTCAGTGCATGCAAGCCTATAACCCCAGTGCTCAGGAACTGAGGCAAGAGGATCACCAAGAGCTTGAGACCAGCCTGGGCTACATAGTGAGTTCAAGGCCAGTCTGAATTGCATAGTGAGACTCTGTCTTTAAAAAAAAAAAAAAAAAAAAAAGAGGAAGAAGAAGAACAATTAAGAAACACCAGCTCTTGATTTTTTTTTTTTAAATTTTTTTATTTAGTACAGGGTCTACAGGGTCTCACTATGTAGATCAGACTCAGTGATTCTCCTGTTTTCAGTCTCCCAAATGCTGAGATTACAGGTGCATACTACCATGCCCAATCTTAATCTCCATCTCAGCATGCCTGGGGATGGGACCAGCAGGGCATGCTGGGGATCAAAATCCCCACCCCCCTGCACTCGCATTCTGCCTAACCAGGGACTTTATTGATCCTTTTTTTCAGTAAGACTCTAAAGACTCCACTGTTCCTTGTCTCCCCAAATCCATGCCCTACCAGAGAAGAGTCTCACCGTTTGTCTGAGTGAAGAGATGCTATGTGTGCGATTGCCACTTTCTGAGGCCAGGGCAGAGTCACTAGGGTACTGGAGACAAGGTGCATTCGCTTGGCCTACGATCTGACCTTGGATTGCTGTGCCTAGCACTGTACCCAGCACCTCCACGGTCATACCTGAGGAGAAAAAAGGAGGTCTTTCAGGGGAGCCTTGTGGCTCATAGGTATGAGAAGGGTAGACTGGGCTCACACTCCAGATCCGGGTTTGGTGGGTGGAGGAAGCAGTTGTCACCTTAGCCAGCATTCATGGCTTCTTTGTGTGATCCCAGGTTCATGCTTGTATCGCTCTGAGTCACACTCAGCCAGAAGGGAACCAGGGTATTTTTAAGAGTTTCATGAACAAGAGCTCAATGAAGGAGCACTTGCTCAGTGCATGCAAGGCCCTGGCTTCAAATCCCAGCACACACAAACATGAAAAAGCTTTCACACCCACGCTAAGAGCAGAGCGGGGAGATAGTAAGGCAAGGCAAGATGGTGCAGGAGCTGTGGATGGGGAGACTTACGATAGGCAGTGGCTGAGTCCCGCTCACTCTGCTCTGTGCTGATGAACATGGTGAGTGCTGAGTAGGGTACATGGAAGCACTGTCACAGAAAAGAGGCCCTTAGACAACTAGTGAACAGAGAGACGCCAAAACCCTAGCCCTGAGCCTGGCCCCAGACCCAAGATACTCAGAAGAGCCCACACTCACCGTGACCAGAGTCTCAAAGAGGCAATAGAAAATCAGGTACCAAAGGGCCTGTCCCCGTGGAAAGTCAGGCACGAACCAGATGAGGAAGTAGGCAACAACAGCCAGGGGTGTGGAGAAGATGATCCTGAGGAAAGGGAGGTCTGAGTGGAGGCCAGAACCCCAGGAGCCAGCTGAGCCAGGAGTCCAGCTCTGCTCTCTGGGTTCTCCCCAGAAGGAAGTTCCTTCTTCTCCTGAATCCACCCCACTCTCTCACTTTCCAGACTCACATTGGCCTGGCTTCTGCGGAAAGACATATGGCAACCCCAGAAGGACACACGGGGACTGGCCCTGGACTGAAATCCTGTGTGTGGAATGTGAGGAGGTTGGACTGGAGTCTCATCCACATTTCCCCAGGAGCAAGGACTTCTCCTGGGCTGGGGGGCCTGAGTAGAGGACAAGACCGCAGGCAAGCAGGCAGGGAGAAAGGACAACCTTGGCACAGGGTAGGAGTTGGCACAGGGAAGGTCAACTCTAGGCAAGGAAGATGGAGGAGTTGGATGGAGGATTGGGCCTAGTGATGCAACTCTGAGGGTGCAAAGGTCTACAGCCTGCATGTGAGTTCTGCCTATCACAAGGGGCAGACATCAGACTGGACCGGAATGACGCCTAAGCTTCAGCAGAGAAAGCAGCAGAGGGTGAAGGTTAAGAGATCCAAGTCTGACTCTCCCAACTACCATAAAACTTTGGCTTGGACAAGTTATTTAACTTCTCTGACTCACTTCCTCCTGCATAAAATAAGAATAAAAAATAGCACATGCCTTACATTCAATATTTGCTCAAATATTTATTATGTCCCCATTGTGCACTGGGCATTATTTTCATTGCTTAAGACGTATCAGTGAACAAAAAAGACAAAAAAGCAGGGGAGGAAAAAGAATAAAAACATTTTCCTTGCAGAATTTACATTCTAGTTGGTGACCAGCAAAAATAAACATAGTTTAAAGAGCTATAAATTCAGCCTTGAAGGAATGAGCCAGGCTGGGTGGCAGCAACATGCCTGTAATCCTAGCACTTGGAGGGCTGAGGCAGGAGGATTCTTGAGAGTCTGAGACCAGCTTGGGCTACAAAGTGAGCTCAAGGCCAGCCTGAACTGCATAGCAAGACCCTGTCTCAAAAAGAGGGGGGAAAGAAGGTATGGACTTCTAACCCAGGCTTCAGCAAGGATGAACCTCCACGACAGGCTCAGTGCAATAAGCCGGTCACAAATAACAAATATTGTACAATTCAGCTTGTATGAGGTAAGCAAGCTCAAGTAGTTCACTTCAGACATGGAAAGGAGAAAGGTGGTCCTGAGCAGTTGGAGGAGAGAGTGAGGGCTATTGATAATGGGTACAGAGCTTCAGTTTGGGAAGATGAAAAAGTGCTAGAGGTGGAAGTGTTGTACTGATCACATGAAGAAGGGAATGTACTTAATGTCAGCAAACAATAAACTTCAGATGGCTCTAGATGTTAAATGGGAACAGTACACATATTTTGCCATTTTTAAAAAAGGTTATATACATGTGGGAAGGTAGCAAGTACTATGGACAGCAACAGAGCATTAGAAGTGAGAAGCAGAGCCCAAGAAGGCCTCACCCGGAAGACCTGAGTGGCAGCAGGAGGCAGTCGGCTAGTGAGGACTGAAGGGGAGCACTCAGTACAAAGGTCCTCAGGCAGGAACCTGCCCGGCAGGGCTGAGGAACAGCAAGAGGGCCAGTGGGGCCAGTGTGTCATGAGCAAGGGAGATGGAATTAGGAGATAAGCTTGGAAAGGAAACAGGACTCCTCGTGAGCTCCTGCAAGGACTCTGGTTCTGCTTTGTCAAGTTGAACACTCTTAAGATTTAAATAAGTTGATATGAAAATGCAGGCTAGTGCTTGGGACACGTTTGCTGTGACTCCATCAGGAAGGTTCCTCAGAGAGCCATCCTGCAGGAGTAGCACAGCCCATAGCCTGGAGCTGTGAAGGCCTGGGACTAGGAATCAAGTCTGCTTCTCAGCTTCCCCTGGTGACCCTGCTGACCACCTGCTTCTCACAGTGTGGCCTTGGGGACACCAGGGAAAGCCCATGTCAAAGTCTTTGGTTTGAAGGGGAGGATTACAGGAAGGCTTGCCCTGATACTTGTAGAAGAAGCCCCAGGGTCTTCCTACTTGAATAGAATAGAGATTTGAAGAGGGACCCAGGTCCTCACTGTGGTGCAGTGGCCTCTCAGACTGTGAGTGTCTAGTATTTGTTCAGACATGCGCAAAGATCCCTGCTAAGACAGGAAGCAGGCTCAGGGCCCCCAGCACCTTCCTCAAACTGGCTGCCACACCTGCCCAGCTCCAGTCCTCAGATCCTTCCTGTTGGCTGCTCCACCTCCTCTTCCTCCCACCCCCCCCAAAAAAACCACATGTATCTTAGGAGGTGATCGCTCATCATCCTTCCTCAAACATTCCATCCTCTGCTCTAGGCAGCTGAGCAGTGCTGCCCAGGAACCCAAAGTGACTGTCACATTGGCCTGGCCCAGAAGCAGCTCCCATTGGCTGGGCCTCATGAGGAGATGTGGCAGCAGGACCTGCCTTTCACCGGCTGCCAGGTATGTGGGCACAGGTCCAAAGCTCACGAGCTGGCACGCTGGGAGCCCTGAACAGACTGCCCAGGTGAGGTAGTCTGTCCTATCCCTGGCCCTGAAGCTGGATCAAAGGCTCCAGCCTGGGCCTTTGCCAGGGCCTGGCAGGATTGTAGTGGGTGGGAGGCCTCGTGGGAAAGGAAACTGTGGGGGCTCGGGGGCTGCTGGAAGAGCTTTGAAGGCCGGAGACCAGGTATGGGCGCCCCTGGGGCAGGAAGGCGCCCACTTGAGCTTGGATGGGCTGGAGATGAAAGGGGCAGCCCCCCCACCCCTGAAGCAGGATGTCCTGGAGGGAACCAGAACCCGGCCTGGCTGGTCTTCTATGTCTCCCTTGCTGTCTGATCTACGGGAACTGCCTCCCCCACCTGGCCTCACAGCCTGAAGCTGAGTGGTAGAGACTTTGTGCCAAGGGAAAAAGTTCACATTATTCAAGGCCTCAGAGCTTAGGGGTCTGCTTTAGTATTCCTGGCATTGTCTCCAACCCCTGCCCCACCAGGAGCCACATGGAAGGAGTGAAAATTATACATCACTTAATAGGCACCATGCCTGGCATGGAGGCTGAGGCAAAAGGATCACCAAGAGTTCAAGGCCAGCCTAGAATATATAGCAATACCCTGTCTGAAAAACAAACAAACATATAAATCAAGCAGGAGGCTGAGGCAGGAGGGTCATTGCAAGTTTGAGTCCAGCCTGGGCTATAAAGTGAGATCAAAGCCAGTCTGAACTGCATAGGGAGATCCTGTTTCAAAAAGAAAAAAAGAAGAAGAGAGCTGAAGCAAGAGAATCACCATGAGTTCAAGGCCAGCCTGGGATACACAGAGTTGAAGGCCAGTCTGAACTATATAGGAAAACTGTCTCAACAAAAGATGCTAAGCACTGTCCTGAGTATTATACACATTCACAACCATTTAATCCTCATCACAACAAACACTGTTCAAAATTCCTTATCCCCATTTTACAGATGAAGAAACTTCAGGCTCAGAGATGTTAAATGACTTGTTCAAAGTTGCAGTTGTGAGTAAGGAGGCTGGGATTCAAACCCAGGTAGACTGGCTGGAGAGTGCTCAGAACTGCTCCTCTGCCACCACGCAAGGGACCAAGGATAGGGGAGACTGAACTCTTTGGAGTCCCCCTGTGCCAAGGGAGCTGACCAGCCCAGCACTTCAGCCAGCCTGGGACTGAGGTGACTCGCTGTCCCAGTGTGCATGCCTTGAGCAGTTGAGGCCTCAGATGAAGTCTCTACACTTGGACTTTGGTCCCTTTTTCTCACCATCCCAGCCTGGGGCGAGAGGGAAGGAACCGGTTCCAAGGGGCAGATGTGTAGGAAGCTCCTGCAACCTGGAAGACATCTTCTACTTACCAAGGCATGAGGCGACCCAGGCGGGTCCAGGAGGACTTGCTAATGCAGAAGCCCACCAGAGGGTCTGTGAAGGCATCCCAGGCTCGGCCAAAAAACAGGATGATGGAGGCAGAGAAAGGGTCCACCTGGAATAAGGAGGAGGCAGGAAATAACCCCTTTATTCCTGGACTCACCTCAGTCTTCCCTGCTCAGCAGGAGCAGGGTCCTCCCCACCTCTGCCAGGCCCAGATCCTGGGCTGTGCCCACCTGGGCCCTGCACATCTTTTCTTTCCTGGTTGAGGTGATAATAGCAGGGCTGGGGATAAGGCTCAGTGCTTGCCTAACTTGTATGTATCACACCTGGGTTCAATGCCCAGGACCACAAAATAGTAAGACAATAAATAGCTTTTCTGAGTAGTATACTGGGGATTGAACCCAGCACTTTCACACTGAGCTACATCCCCAGCCTTTTATATTTATTTCTTATTTTGTTTCTTTCTTTTTTCTTTCCCCCCATCTTTTTGATACAGGGACTTGCTATGCAGTTCAGGCTGGCCTTGAGCTCACTTTGTAGCCCAGGCTGTTCTCAAACTCACAATAATCCTCCCTCCTCTACCCCTCAAATTCTGGGATTACAGGCATACATGTACTACCACGCCTATCTTATTTTTTATTTTGACAGTCTTGCTAAATCACCCAGGCTAGGCTCAAAACTTATAATCCTCCTGCCTAGGCACCCAAAGTACTGGGATTACAGGCATATGCTACACACCTAGTTTGACTGGTGATTTCTTTGATAACAGTAACATTGTGTACTTCCTTAGGGACTTTCCCAGATCTGTTTCCTATCCCTTCTGCTGCCTTTGAAAACATCCCCATGAGATAGGATGAATCTAGAATCACTCCCTAACCAGCCAGGCTTGGTGGCACATGTCTATAATCCCAGTACTCAGGAGGCTGAGGCAGGAGAATCACTTCAAATTCAATGCCAGACTGGACTACATAATTAGCTCAAGGCCAGCCTGAGCTACTCAAAAAAATCAAAAAACACTAATAGAATCATTTCCATATCTCTATCTCACAGCTCCAAGCTCTGAGTTCCTGGCCACCTGACAACAGAATTAGCATTCATTAATTACCCACAGTGGGCCTCAGTTTCCCCATTTGGGAGTTATGCTTGCTATCTTACAGAGTTATTTTGGATTCTTAGATGTAGGAGTCTACAGATTTTTTTTTTTTTAAGACAAAGTCTTATTATGTAGCCTAGGCAGGGCTTGAGCTTTCAGTTGTCCTGCCTTGGTGTCCCAAATGCTGGAATTAAAGGTATTAACCACCACACCCAACTGTAAATACTTTTTATTTATTTGAGACAGAGTCTCTATGTAGCCCAGGCTGACCTTGAACTCACTGCCATCCTCCTGGCTCAGTCTCACAAGTGCTGGGATTATAGGCATGTACCACCATGCCCCGTGAATGTAGGTCCTTTTTAAAAAGTGGCCTGTGACAACCTGCTCAAACTACCCCTCTCCTCCCAAACACTCTTGGCTCTAAATGTTCTAAATCTAGATGTTCTGGTTTTCTCCTCTTCCATCAGAGTCTGGCTATTACTATTGCCCTGGGAACTCACAACCTTTCCCATGCCATCATCTCCCACACCCTAGCTCTAATACTCACTACGACAGATTTATATTTCAACCACAGGTTCCTCATATTTGCACCCTACTCAGGGACTAGCCAAGGATATTACTCAAAATCTACTGCTGAATGAAGTCATTTGTCCTTTCTGGGTCTCAGTGCCTCCCACCTGTAAATGGACAAAGCACCCTGTTTGCCAAGTCAGATACTACATAGAAAATTCAGCCAGTGCAGCAGCCCTGGTAGCCATGGCTATTGAGCTTCCTACTCTATTTGAACAGGACAAATTCTCAGAATGCAGGCCGCAGGCCAAGGCTTCTCAAAGCAGTATAGCACCGCTTCACTCTAAGCATTCCTCCCACTTGTAGATCCTACATCTTGGGGTCCTCTAACTCAGCCCAATACGTGAAGGCTCCTCTACCCGCTGACAAGCCTTCACTCCCCACATGAAGGTGGGATACTCTTCCTCCACAAGGGGTTATGTTTGCTAACCCCTTAGTCAAGCTAGCTGTTCTAGCCAGGGACATGCAGTGCCAGTCTCTTCTAAGAACAGTGTCACTGGTAGGTCTCATTTTCCTTTATACTATTGCCTATTCCTTCAAACTCTGTTGCTCCTGCTAGGAATGCCATTTAGTTGCCATCTAAGGCTCCCCACCTGAATATTTTCTAAAGTTCTTTTTATTTCTCACCCACTGTAACTCTTAAGAGACAGGAAAATAAATGTTTCTGTCCCATTTTATAAATACGTAAAACTGAGTAAATATACCCAGGGGTACCTAGTCTTTTCCATTTTGTGGTACCAGAATAGAAGGCTCAGGTCACTCACCAAAGCTACGTCCAATAAGTAGATCTGTAGGAAGAAGCCCAGGGCACAGCCGGTCACTTGGTAGGGGGCCCCTCCAACTGCATAGCAGAGCTTGTTGCAAACTGACAAATGTTGTTTCTTCTTTGGTTCCTTCTAGGAAGAAGAAAAAAGGATGAAAACAGTCCCAAATCTTGACTTCAATCCTAGAAGGTCCAGAGGCAACTCCATCTGGAGGAACAATTCTATCTTCCCCTGCTCCCACCTGGTTAGATCCTACTTCCTAAATAAATAAATAAATAAATAAATAAATAAATAAATCCCTATTCTTAAGAACCTGGAAAAAAGAAAACCCACACTCCTAAGAAGTTGCTCCTAAGTCACTCACTTGGCCTTGCCATATTCTAAGGAAAGTTACCAGCTAGAGAACTCTCCCCAAGGCCTCAGCCGCTGCTCTTTTCCAAAATTCCAGAGGAGAGCATGCTCCAGCAGCAGACCTGTCCCCACCTGGCACCAGCTGCCACAACCTGAAAATCCTCTTGCAGCTGAGAGCTGACCGAGCTCAGCCTGGGGGAACGCCAGGATCCACCTGCCCAGTGGTGAGAACTCTATAGAGCTGTAGGGCCCAGCCCAGCTAGCTGCAGACACAGCTGTTCACCCCATCTGTCCCTTAGCGTCCCTGGTCCCCATAGGCAGCAGAGCTTCAGAGAAACTCAGGAGCTGTCCTACCCTCCGGCTTCAATTCCTAGGGGACTTTGGAGAGGAGAAGAAAGGCCTCCAGGCCCAAGACTGGGCTCTGTCAGGGTAGGGCTCTAGGGAGTTGGAGGTTGCCCAGGGAAAGTAGAGATTACTCATACATGGTAACAGCATAATTGCCCGTGGGTCTCCTTCCAAGGATCAGTTAATAAAATTAAAAGGAAAAGATAGTCACCTCCCAAGGAGATATTTATTCCTGAGATCCCTTCGTGGGTCCGCCTAGTTTCATTTGGTCGTTAAATAGGTCCATGAGGGCTGGGACCGGAGCGTAAGGTCGAAACTGTACTGCACACAGGAACACTCACATTCAAAGCCGGCGGAATGCGGCTCCTTTAAGAGCCGAACGAACCCTTGTTCTTATGAATGAACTCGCGCAGCCCTCACAGCAGAGTACAGGCGAGAGTAGGAGAGTGAAGGGGGTTGGGGGTGGGGAAGGGGAGGTTCTCAGATCTGCCGGGTCTCTCCAGCTTCTAGGTCGGCAAATCTCGGCTGCTCATCCCAGAAGAAACGGAACCAGCTAGGAGCAACTGGCCTCCAACTGGAGCTGCGAGAAGAGCCCTCCGCGGAAATTTGAGAGCGGGAGAGCAAAAGCGAGAGTGAACGCCCCAGACTTTCTCATCACTTCTCGTCCCCGCAGCTCCCTGCCCTCTCGCCTCCTAGGCCCTGGGTTCCCACCTGCCAGGTCTGACGTCCTCATACCATATGCTTCGCCCGCCGCCCCTTCTAACCACTCGGGGTGCTGGGTCCTCACCTTCACCTGGGCCGGGCGTTCGCCGGCTTGGAGGATGCTGGGGGACAGCAACCCTGCCGCGGAGCCGCTCTCGGAACCCTCTCCTTTGGCCATGACCCGCGGGCCACGGCGATTGAGGCCGAGACCGGGATGCTCCTTTCCTCTGGGGGCTCTTACTCTTCTGGGATGTGATCGCGGCCACCGTCTCTGTACACCAGCAAAATCCTGAGGCCGGCTAGGCTCACACTGTCCTCCACGCGCTCACTCAGCCTCTTAAATATTCGGCCCGGCCCTCTGGGTGAGACCAATCACTGGCTCGAGCCAATCCCAGCACCCGCCCGCCTTCCCAGCCGAGCCTCGCGGCTGAGCCACGTTCCCTTTGCTGCGGCTGCGGCTGCTGCTGCTGAGCTCAGTCGTCGCCGCCCCGCGAATGCTGCGAAATCCACCTGATCCCTCCGAGGAAACTGAGGCCCACAGCCGAAAGTGGCTCGCTCAAGGTCCCCAAGCGAGTTCTCTGTTGAGTCAAGCCTGCAGCCCCTAACTTCTGACCTTAGGAAAGGTGGGGGCTCGGAGACCCACTGGCCCCTCCAAAATCTGGAGACAGAGCCATCGTAACTGTACACGATAGATCACGTTGTATTCCCCAGATGAACATTTATCTTTGCTCCCCCTCTTTTTGTATCTACTGGGTCCACGCTCGCTCTGCAGAGCCAGTTTCTCTTCCACTCTTCATTTTTGT